TTTCTTTCTTTTTTTTCTATCTTTCTTTTTCTTTCTTTCTGTCAGTCATGGGTGCTGTCCCTCAGCTCTTCAGCTCAAGGTGAGTGCTCTACTACTTGAGCCACAGCACCACTTCTGGTTTTCTGGTGTTTTACTGGAGGTAAGAGTCTCATGGACTTTCCTGCCTGGGCTGGCTTTGAACTGAGATCTTCAGACCTCAGCCTCCTGAGTAGCTAGGATTATAGGCGTGAGCCACCAGCACCCAGCTATGAGTACATTTCTTGTGGAACATTGTTACCCACTCCTTTGTTTGTCTTCTACTATCCCTTCCCTCAGGCAGCAATATTTCTGAAGGAAGCCAAAAAGTAGTTTCCTTCCAGGCGCCTCTGCAGGGCCCCAGGACTTGTCAAGAGAGGCTGTGGGGTAACTCAGGAACTTCCCGTATCCCCGTGGAGAAGGGCCAAGGCCACTTGAGGAGGAATCATCTCATTCAGGGGAATGTGCTGGCCCAGCTGAGTTGCTTCATCACAGAATGTCCTAAAAGGCACCATGACTGGCGGAATCTTAGTTCCGGCTCCATGAGGAGTTAGATCTCTAGACCTCAGGCTCTTCTTTATTATTTACTTTCTTATGGTGTTCTTTCATATACTGTTATTTACTATCATATGGTTTAATGGACTCCTTTTGTTCACTGGAATACTAAGGACAGGGCACTTGACATCTTCTCTATAAATGGAGAATCAATAACCCTCACCACAAATAGAATGAGTCTGGGCCAACCAAGCCCAGAGCCTAGAGCCCATGGTATTTTCAGGGACCTCAGAAAATTGTTTTAATTTCTTTTAAAATTAAGGGTGTGGGGGAAGAGCCTGACACCAGTGGCTCACAGCCTGTAATCCTAGCTCTCATGGAGTATCAAAGTTCAAAGCCAGCCCAGGCAGGAAAAGTCTGTGGGGCTCTTATTTCCAAGTAATCACTAAAAAATTGGAAGTAGAGGTATGTATGGCTCAAGTAATAGACTGCCAGCCTTGAATGAAAAAGCTAAAGAAGAGTGCCTAGGCCTAGTACCAGCAAACACACACACACACACACACACACACACACACACACACTGAAGAGCTGGGTGTCAGTGGCTCACAACTGTAATCTCTCTACTCAGGAGGCTGAGATTTGACAGTCATGATTCAGCCTGGGCAGGAAAATATGTGAGACTCTTACCTCTGATAAACTACCAAAAGGCCAGAAATGAAGCTGTGACTCAAGTGATACAGTGCTAGCATTGAGCAAAAAAGCTTAGGGACAGTGTCCAGGGCCTGAGTTCAAGCTCCAGAACTGGCACACACACAGACACACATAGACAGATAGACAGACACACATTCAATTAGAAAAGAAAAAATAAATATTCTAATAGTGAGTATAAACTAATGCATATAGTCAGAACTTTTTTTTTTTTTGGTCCATCCTGGGGCTTGAGATCTGGGCCTGGACACTGTCCCTGAGTTCTTCAGCTCAAGGCCAGTGCTCTACCACTTAAGCCACGCACGTCATCTCTTCTGATTTTCTGGTGGATAATTAGAGATAAAAGTCTCAGGGACATTCCTGCCTGGGCTGGCTTTGAACTGCAATCCTCAGATCTCAGCCTCCTGAGTAGCTAGGATTACAGGCGTGAGCCACTGGCGCCTGGCTAGAAATATATTCTTATTGATACTGTCCTAATCATAAAATATTAAGTAAGGAATTTTTAATGGAGGAAGGGACCCATCAAGGACAAAGTACCCATGAAAATCAGAGCACAGCTCTAGAATGCATATGACTATAATAGAAACACAACAAAAACTCGAGTGAATTTTGCCTGCTAAAATCAATAGTTAAACCTCCCCCTCCTTATAAAAAATAGAGATTAGTGTCACAGCTCCACTTCCAGCTTTTTGTGGTTAATTGGAGATAAGAGTCATTCAGACTTTTCTTGCTGAGATGGCTTTGAACAGGATCCTCAGATCTCAGCCTCCTCACTAGTTAGCATTACAGGTGTGAGCCACTGGTGCCCAACATTGGTTATTTTTGAGGTAAGGTCTCCCTTTATGCCGAGGCCATCCTGGGTTGTGATCCTACCTGTGCTTCCTCGTGCTACAGGGGGTAACAGGCGTGCGACATTGCACTCAAGCTTTTGTGCTTCTTTTGCAGCTATGTGTTAACAGTGGGCCCAGCTATTGATCAAGATGGGGTCTCAAGAACTATTATGACTGGCCTCGCCAAGACCTGAAATCTCCTTTTCACTGCTTTCCAAATAACTAGGATTACAGACCTGAGCCACCGTGTCCCACTTGCGCTGTTTATTTTGAGTCAGGGCTTGAACTCAAAGCCTGGGCACTATGTCTCTAAACTATTTTGGTCTAGGCTGGCCCAGCTCTACCATTTGGGCTGTAGCCCCACTTCCTGCTTTTGGTAGTTAATTGGAGATAAGACTCTCACAGATTTTTCTGCTCAGGTTGGTTCTGAATTGTAATCCTGAGATCTCAGCCTCTTGAGTAGCTAGGATTACAGGCATGAGTCACTGGCACCCAGCTTGCACTGGTTATTAGGGTCTTCCTTCCTGCCTGGGTTTGTGCCTAGCTAACAGTTCTGAAACACTGCATACATCTTCCCATCCAGGGAGAATAGTCTCGTGGATTTTTCTGTCCAGACTGCCCTGGTGTCATGATCCTCCCACTCTCAGCCTTCTTCATAGTCTAGGGTGACAGGTGTGGGCCATTGCATACAGCTATGGGTTGAGAAAGAGGTCTGTCTCATCATGAACTTCTCTCTTTTTTTTTTTTTTTTGAGTCCGGTCGTGGGGCTTGAACTCTGGGCCTGGGCGCTATCCCTCAGCTCTTGAGCTCAAGGCTAGTGCTCTACCACTTGAGCCACAGTGCCACTTCCAGCTTTTTTCTTTTTGCTTTATGTGGTGCTGAGGAATCGAACCCAGGGCCTCAGGCATGCAAGGCAAGCGCTCTACCACTGAGCCACCTTCCCAGCCCCTCATCATGAACTTCTCTGTTCAGATTAGCCTCCAACTTCGATCCTCCTGTTTTCAGCCTCCTAAGCAGCTAGAATTACAGGTGTGAGCCCCTGCTGCCCAGATGTTTATATCTTGGATTTATATATTTCAGAGTTTCTCCACTTCTGGGGGCTGGCTCTGCAATACACTTAGGAAGTGGGCTTTCAAGCCCATTACCCATATAGGCAGATGTGAAATAGAACGCTCCCCAGGGCTGGTTCTGACACACAAAGTCTTCCCTGTAGAAGGTCAAGAAAGCCAGGCACCTGGGCCTCCCCACTCTGTGTGGGGTTAGGATCCATCCAGGACTGTGAGTTCACTTTGGAGATGCAAGGAAGGGAGGGAGACCAAGGGGCAAAGACCTGGGCTCCACACTAGCAAGCATTCTGCCTCCTCATGCTGGGCCATCTTGCCTTTGGACATGCTGTTCCCTCTTCTTGAAACATCCTCTCACGCTCAGCTCATGCATCATGTGCTACGTTACTTGGGGATTCTCTGCCTTCCAGAAACCTCTGACCCTCTGTGCATCAGGATCAAGTGGCTTTTCTCCATGTTTCCATGGTACCAGGGGAGTTTCCAAGCCATCATTACACATGCAGAGGCTGAATTCTCTCCCTCTATTTCAAGAGTCTGAGGGCTCCTGGGAGTGAGGGGGGAGGGACAGGACCCTACTTTCTCACCATGGTGTGCTCTAAAGGCAGAGCTTAGATCGCAGTAGGAAATGCTTGTTAATGGACATGGTTGACCACAGATGAGTTCATTAATATCTATGTTAAGGGATTGCAGACAGAAGCTGTTCATTACTGGCAGATTAGAGAGTGTCCAGGTAAAGTGCACTAAACGAAGCAGAGAAGTCATTTGGTTCCCAAACACTGTGAAGTATTGGGTAAGAACTCCAATTCAAAATATACTGATTTGGGCTAAGGGCAGGTGGCTCATGCCTGTAAGCTTAGCTACTCGGGTGGCTAAGAGCTGAGGATCATGGTTTGAAGCCAGTCTAAGCAGGAAAGTCCTGGAGACTCTTCACTCCAATTAACCACCCAAGCTAGAAGTGGAGCTGTGTGGCTCAAGGGGTAGAGTACTAGCCTTGAGCAAAAGCAGCTCAGGGACAGCGCCCAGGGCCCTGAGTTCAAGCCCCAAGACCCGCAAACAAAACAAAACAAAAACCACTTATTTCTGATCTGAAAGGAGGAGGAGGAGAGAAAATTGGATCCTAATGTCATCATTGCATGGAAATTCCTCCCGAGCTGTCCGCACTGGGAGGAAGGAATCTCCGTTCCGGCACAGCTCCTGGCTGTGTATGGAGGTGCGTAGTGGGGCCGCAGGCTGTAATAAAGCGGTGGTAAAATGAACGAATCTCTCGAAATGTTTTACAGCTCGCTATGCAGTAGGCTCACTGAACCCCCAAAAGTTGAGCGAATGGGGTCCAACAGCGCCCTCTTGGGGTGTCCTGCACCAGGCATCCGGTTCCTCCAGGCGATGCTGGACAGCACAAAGGAGCCCCAACCGCTACAGGAGGGGTCCGGGGAATGGGACACGGGGCCCGCCAGCGGCCGGGGGCCTGCCCAGTGGGCCAGGGCATCTGGCTGGAGGAGGGGCCGCTCCGATGGCGGGGTCCCGGAGCTGCGCGCGCACCGCAAGCATCCCAGCTGTGACACCGACCGGAGAGCGCCCAGCGTGGCCACCCGCGGGGACTGAGCTCGGAGGTGCAGACCCCAGCCCGGGACAGGGAACACCCCTCCCCTCCGAGGGACATAGGGATCAGGCCCTCCAAGACCCAGTCACCCCCGACAAAGAGCGCCAGGCCTCAGGGTCTGAGACCCTGGCCTCCAGGCCGCCAGCGCTCCGCCCGAAGGCTGAGTCGGCGCAGGTGCAGCGCGGACGGGGCGTGGCCAAGGGAGGCGTGGTTTAGAGGAAGGCGCCCGGTGTGGGCGTGGTGCAACGCGGAGTGGGCGGAGCACCGGAGGGCGTGGCCTCGGGGGCGTGGCCTGGAGTGCCGTAGTGCCGGGTGGTCGCTGGTGCCCGGTCCTCCGTCCGTGATGACGTCCAGCAAGCGAGTGGCGAAGGTAACCGCGCGTTGCACGACCCCCTTTCTCGGGGCACCCCCTCCGGGGCTGTCGCAGCGCATGTGTGTGTCTGGGCACCCCTGCCCTGTCCTCAGGGGAGGAGGAACGCCCCGAACTGGGGTTTGGGGGTGCAGAGAGGGAGGGGCATAGAGTGAGAGCAGCAGCAGCTCCACCCGCCGCTATGCTAGGGGCAAGAATGACCACAGCCAACCCCCCAAAAAAACTAGTTTCAGTTTCACTTCTGCCCGAAATTTGGGGTGACAGGAGCGGAAGGGCTGGTTCTCTGGTGTCTGCTTGGTGCCCGGCGTTCGGCTCCACCGTATGGGGAGCGGGGTTATGTACCAAGGTACCGGGACAAGGCCTTTATCTTGGAATAGCCTGGGGACCCTCTTCCATCCCCAAATTTGTTATCACTAGAGCCTCCTCCCCGCTTCTGGAAGAAGGGGGGCTGTGTGTGGGGAGCCTGGGAGTAAGATGCCTTGGGGTTTTTTTCTTTTTGTTTTAGAAACTGTGTAGGGCAAGGCCCGGAAGGCTTCCTGCAGTCGGTGACTTGCATTCCTTATCTACGTTGAATGAATGCTTACTTCAAGGTGGCCCTTTTGCCAGGAGATGTGTGTGTGTGTGTGTGTGTGTGTTGGAGGTGTGGGGGGGGGGGGACAGAGATAGACAAAAATGGAAGTCCCGATCGGGCTTTCATTCCTATGGGGGCAGGATTTGAAATAAGATCTGGGAAGGTGGAGGTGGCCATTTGCCCCCAGGAAGTGGGAAGACCCAGGGTGTTTGGAAGACGAGGAGGTGTAGCCGGCAGGATCAGAGATGGATTGGGGAGGGAGACAATCCTCCTGAGATGGAGCTGGTACCCCTGCTTGCCCCCACCAGGCTTTGAGTCTCAAAAGTGTTTCTTGAATCTGCACAACGGAGAAGGGGGGGGGGGAGAATGCAGCTATTTGCCTCTGAAAAGGAAGGGAGAGGGGCGGGCTGAGATGTTCCCTGAGGCCCAGCTCAGAACTGAAATCTGGAGGCTGGGGCAACATTGGTGCAGAAGGTCTTTTCCTAGCATGTGAAAAAGAGAAGGGACTGGCGATCATTGCTTTGGCACCTTTAAGTGTCGGGCAGTTTACATGAGCGATTTCCTCTAGTTCTCACCACCACCTGGTGAGATAAGTATCTCCCATTTTACAGATGAGGAAGTTGAGGCTCTGAGAGAACTCAGCCGACTAGGGGCAGCCAGTAAGGCGTCAGTCAGCTGGGATCTGAGCTCAGTCTCTTTCATTTTCCATTTCTCTAGGTCAGGTGACTTCCTAGCAGCCTTGGGAAGGAGCTCCATCCCGGTTTCTGTTTCTACATCCCCAGACCTTGCGAAAGTTTTGGCAGAAATTAGAGGAGAAAGAATACCAAGTGCTCCCAGTTCTAATAAAGAGTCCGTTCAGATTATCTTCATTAAGCCCTGGGCTTCATTCTTGCCAGAGCCACAACAATACTAATATTGAAACCAGGACTTCCAGTAGCAGACACCACCAGCTTAGGGAGGCAGAAATAGCAGGGTTCATGGACTAGGGGCAGAAGGCAATAGAAACAGTTTGTGGTGAGCAGAGTTGGAATCCAGGCTGGGAGATAGAGGAGGTGTGGGGGGTTTATATGTTGGGGAAGAAGAAGAAAGTTCAGGTGGCCCACATTGTAAAGGGCCCCTCCTCAAATACAACTACAGACAGAGTTAGGAAACTTTCTGTCTTTGTTTACACAGAGGTTTTCCACCTCATCAATCTGACATTTGGGGCCAGAAAATTTGGTTGTGTGCCCATTCTGGGGCTTGAATTCAGGGCCTCTCTGGGCATTGTTCCTTAGCTTTTTTTTTTTTTTTTTTTCTCAAGGCGGGTCCTCTACCACTTGCCACAGCTCTACTTCTGGCTTTTTGAGGGTTAGAGATAAGAGTCTCAGGGACTTTCCTGCTTGGGTTGTTTTTGAACTGAGATCTTCAGATCTCTTCTGAGTTGCTAGGATTACAGGCATGAGCCACTGGTGCTCTTCTGGTCAGTTACCTTTAAGCCATACTACTTGTGGTGGGTTCACATCTTGGAGCATCACGATGCACCATAGTATATCAAAGGCCCTGGGAGGGCCAGAGATGAAGTTCAGGGGTAGAGCACTTGCATAGTGTGCCGGTTCCATCTCTAACACTGAAAGACGGAATGAAGTAAATGAATGAGTCAATAAATAAATACCACAAACCTCTGGGAAGTCCTGCAGTGAAGAAAGCCGGTTTTTCTTCTCAAATGCTCTTGCCCATGGAACCCTTTTCCTGTAATCACTGAGAACCTATCTGAGCTCACCTTGGTGCCTCTTTGCTTCTATCCACTCTGAAGAACCCATCTCACTGTGTGTATGTCTGTGAAGGCCCTCTGCGCTCCTTCCCCAGCAAGCATCCACCCATGACTACATCACCCCCTCACCATCTATTGTGCCCCCTACAGGAGCTGGAGGATCTTCAGGAGGCGCTTCCCCCGTATCTCCGACACCTGTCCTGCGATGATGCCAATGTCCTGGTGTGGCATGCGCTCCTCTTGCCCGTGAGTGTCCTTGGGGGATTGTGGCTTGGGGAGAATTAGGAACTAGGCAAGAATTTCCTCTGCCTTAGCCCTTTCACCGGAGCTTGGTGGTGGTGGAGAAAAAAACAGGCATGATGATGGGCTCCCTCAGTGCTATGCTGCTGTAGGCAGAGTGCTGTGCTCCCAGAGTGCTCCCATAGGCAGAGTGGTGTGCTCTCAGAGTCTCCCATGGGCAGAGTGCTGTGCTCCCAGAGTGCTCCCATAGGCAGAGTGCTGTGCTCCCAGAGTGCTCCCATGGGCAGAGTGCTGTGCTCCCAGAGTGCTCCCATAGGCAGAGTGCTGTGCTCCCATAGGCAGAGTGCTGTGCTCCCATAGGCAGAGTGCTGTGCTCACAGAGTGCTCCCATAGGCAGAGTGATGTGCTCACAGAGTGCTCCCATAGGCAGAGTGCTGTGCTCCCAGAGTGCTCCCATGGGCAGAGTGATGTGCTCACAGAGTGCTCCCATAGGCAGAGTGATGTGCTCCCAGAGTGCTCCCATAGGCAGAGTGATGTGCCTATGGGGAAGGGGAGGCACAGGAAGATCACTTGAGTCCAGGAGGAGGAGGGTAAGCTGAGAACATAGCGAGACCCTCTTTGATAAAGCTTTCTTTGACTTTTGCTAAGAGTAGGACTGAGGCTGGGAAGGTGGCTCAGTGGTAGAGTACTTGCATGCATGAGGCCCTGGGTTAGGTTCTTCAGCACCACAGAAACAGAAAACTGGAAGTGGTGCTGTGGCTCAAGTAGTAGAGTGCTTGACTTGAGCTGAAGAGCTGAGGGACAGCGCCCAGGCCCAGAGTTCAAGCCCCATGACTGGAAAAAGAAAGAAAGAGTAGGCCTAAACTTCCAATTCCCAGAGTTGGTTGAATCTATCCCCTAAACCTGAAATACATTTCATTTTATCTTATTTGACAAAATTAGTGTGACATAGGATAATACAGATAATTTATTTCCACTGCTGTCATTTCCTCCCCTCTATTCACTGCTGTTTTTTGTTCATTTGTTTTTGTTGGTTGCAGGGCTTGAACTCAGGGCCTGGGCACTGTCCCTGAACCTCTTTCTGCTCAAGGCTATCACTCTGCCACATGAGCCACAACACCACTTCCATTTTTTGAGTGGTTAATTGGAGATAAGAGTCTCACGGGGACTTTTCTGCCTGGGCTGACTTCGAACCACAGTCCTCAGATCTCAGCCTCCTGAGTAGCTAGGATTTCAGGCGTGAGCCACCTGCATCAAGTTAATTTCATTCTTTTTCAAAGGCTAATACTCCATTATTCACATATACATACCAGAACAAAACAAGATAGTCTGTCCTCCTCCTGCCATAATTTCAGAAAGACTTTAGGGCTGAGATGATCCTAAGAGCTCATCTAGTCCAATTTAACCCTTCCACTAACCCCTGCCCCACTGCCCAATGCATGTGGGTGCCCCCCTTTTCCCAGCCTTTGATCTTCTTGGGAATCGAGCCATGGAGGCCTGGGACCCTGTGGCAGGCAGGGGCAGGAAGGCCAGACCAAAGCTCTGGAAGAAAGATGACTTTCCAGAGCAACTGTGCCTCAGGACAGAGCTCAACCATGTCTCTCTCCTCACAGGACCAACCTCCCTACCACCTCAGGGCCTTCCGTCTGCGCATCGACTTCCCCAGGGAGTATCCGCTGAAGCCCCCCACCATCAAGTTCACCACCAAGATCTACCACCCCAACGTGGACGAGAATGGGCAGGTTTGCCTGCCCCTCATCAGCACTGTGAACTGGAAGCCTCACACCAAGATCTGCCAAGGTGGGGGCCTGGCCTTGCCTGGAGCAGGGACAGATGCTAGGTGGGGTTCCTGGATGGGAGTGGGGTTAGTGGACCTATAGGATATAACAGAGAGGAGATTAAAAGGTGAGTCTTAGTGAAAGCTACTGGTGCATCGAAGCCATGCTCCCTGAGCTCCTGGATGGGCGATCTGCTCCTGCCTCTGTCCCTGCATCTGGACAGATGTGACAGAAGAACATAGGCAGGCTTCGTGGGAGAGAGAGGCAGCAGCCTGGCTTCAGAGGGAAAGGCCTGGGAGCAGAGGGCTGGCTCCAAGGGTGATGCTATCTTCAGCTCTGTGGAATAGATGAGGACACTGAGACCTGGGGAGATGATGAAGCGATCGTTTAGTTCCACAGCTATTCAGGGGCGGAGCTTGGCCGATTCCACAGCTGTGCTCTGTCTGTACAGGTTAGTAGTGCTGTTCAGTCTTTTGGGAAGAAGAGTTCCCAAAAGAGTCAAATGTGGTAGTATATGCCTGTGATCTCAGCTCTTGGGAGGCTAACCTGGAGTATCCTGAATTCAAGGCTAGCCTGGGATATATAGTGAGATACTGTGTCCAGGAAAATGTTATTTACAATATTAATATGCCATGGAAAACCATACTGGTTCTTGTAGAACTGGAGATGAGGCCTGAAAAACCCACCTGTAAGCTGGCCACCGCTAATGGTTCATGCCTATAACCTTGGCTACTCAGGAGGCTGAGATCTAAGGATTATGGTTCAAAGCTAGCCTGGGATAGGAAAGTAGTTTATGAGTCTCCATCTCCAAAATATCATCAAAAAGCCTGCCCGGGGGGCTGGGAAGGTGGCTCAGTGGTAGAGCACTTGCCTTGCATGCCTGAGGTCATGGGTTCGATTCCTTAGCATCACATAAGCAAAAAGAAAAAAGCCAGAAGTGGCGCTGTGGCTCAAGTGTTAGAGCGCTAGCCTTGAGCTGAAGAGCTGAGGGACAGTGCAGTGCCCAGGCCCAGAGTTCAGGCCCCAACCAGACCCCCCCCCAAAAAAAAAAAGCCTGCCCGGGCTGGGTGCCCATGGCTCAAGCCTGTAATCCTAGCTACTCAGGAGGCTGAGATCTGAGGATTGTGGTTTGACGCTAGTCTGGGAAGGAAACTCCATGAGATTCTTATCTCCAATTAAATACCAAAAAAGGCAGAAGTGGAACCATGGCTCAGGTGATAGAGTGTTAGACTTGAGAAAAAAAAAAAAAAAAACCTTAGGGATAGTACCCAGGCCCTGAGTTCATGCCCCAGGACTGGCACAAAAGAAACAACTCAAGTGGTCCTTGAGTATGTTCAAGGACCAGTACCAGTAAAACAAACAAACAAACAAAAAGCCTCTCTGAAGCATAAGGACAGTTGTTTCAGTTGAGCTTCTGGGTCTCAGCACAAGGTCCTGATTTGGTTACAGAGTCATCCTAGGAAAGGCATGAATCCTGTGGAGGTCCCTGGAAGAGTGGGAGAGTGTGGGGAGCTGGGAATGGGGAGTAGGGATGGGCAGCCCTCCCCCCCCCCCCCCCCCGCCTGCTTTGTCCTCACGTCCTGCTCTGTCCTCTGTCCCCAGTCTTGGAGACCCTCAACGTGCTGGTGAACAATCCAGACCTGAGGGAGCCTGTGAGGATAGAACTCGCTGACCTGCTGGCTCAGAGCCCTGAGGTGTTCAAGAGGAAGGCTGAGGAGTTCACCCTCCAATTCGGAGAGAGCCGGCCCTCCTGATTCTGGTGCTGAGCCGCTCTGTCCTGCCTCCTCTGCCTGGTGGATGGTATGATGTTCTGTGAGGACTGGGGTCAGCGCTCCTTGGTGGCCCATTCACAGTCTCCCCTGGGCTACCTGGCCATGGGGTGTGGGAGGGTCTACAGGCTTGGGTGTGGCTGTGCTCCTTCCCCAGGTCACCTGACCACTGGTATGCCCTGCCTACTCCCACAGCCATGGGAGTTTAGTTTGTAGAACAGCAGGCCAGATATACTTGGAAGAAACCAGAATCTCCCTCTCCCCACTAGGGTCCAGAGACAGAAGAGGGGGATGTGGGCAGGATGCAGGACACATGGAAATCACCGTAATTCCCAGGCGGGCACAGATTCAGGATCTAAACCTTTTCTTTTTCACATGGATCACAAGACAATTCTGACTCCAGTCCTGGCGACTTGCTGTGCCCTCTGGCTTCTGGTCCAGGGGGGTGAGGGTTTCATGCACTTGCCTGTTCTTGAAAGCCAGAGATGAATTCTGGACATCGGCGGAGTCTTTGTTGATGATGGGCTGGGAATTCCACAGCCAGCTAACAAAACGTGTGATCTTGACTCTCAGTATATTCTATGCCCAGCAGAAGACTAAATTGTCTGTGAGCAGACGGCCCTTGGAAAGGTCCCCCACAGTAACATCCCCACTTTACAGATGAGGTGCTGAGTACATCAGTGGGCGTCCGTGTCCACTCTGACACTTGGCATAGTCCTCCACAGCCTTTTGGTCATCTGTATGTTATAGTTTATCATGAATTGCTTTTATCAACCACCAGATAAGGTGGTAGACAAAGCAAGGCTGGATCGTTAGCAGGAAATTATAACCCATCAGGGCTTTATAATGATGGGCAAGGGAATGAGAAAAACAAGCCAAACTACAGCCAGACCTGGATAGGAGTTCACTGAATGTTCTGGTAGCTCCTGGAAGTCACTGGAAAACTTCTAGCTTGACAGAGACAAAAGGTGGGGCAGAGCTGGGCACTGATGGCTCAGGCCTGTAATCTCAGCTACTCAGGAGGCTGAGATCTGAGGATCCTGGTTTGAAGCCAGCCCACCCAGGAACGTTTGTGAGACTCTTATCTCCAATTAACCAACCAAAAGCCAGAAGTGGAGCTGTGGCTCAAGTGACAGAGGGCTAGTAGCCTCGAGTGGAAAAGCTCAGGGACAGTGCCAAGGCCCTGAGGTTCAGCCACAGGAACGGCACCAAACCAAGCCAGCAAACAAACAAAAAACTACCTCACTCAGAATCTTCTTCCCTGTCCTGGGGTCCCCCCCCCCACCAGAGGCAGTGTGACTTGAGTGTGAGTACATGGATTGAAATGTAGGCTCCACTTTGATCTTTGGCCACCACCTATTGATCACTGTGTGTCATGGTGGGGATAGCACTGTGAAGTGACACAAGGGTTTACAAAACTACTTTTAATGCCACTGAAGCTGGTGCCACCTGTCCCCTCCCGCAACCTGGCTCTGCTGCTGCATGGAACAGAAGCCAGCCCAGGGCCACTGCTCTCTGCTGGGCTCTGTCCGCCTCTGCATTCCCCCCTCCCACCCCCGCCCCGACCAGTCAGCTCACTTCTTCTTGGTCTTCACCAGCCCTTTCTGCACGAGGCTGCGGTATAGCTCCTGGATGTAGGTATAGACGCACTTGGAGTCGGGCACTGCTAGCCTGACCATGTCATCCACTTCCAGCAGTTGGGCACAGTCAGCTAGTTTCCTGAGGGGTGGGGTGGGGTGGGAGACAGAGGGCCAAAAGTGAAGGATGGGGGAGCCAAGGAAGTGGACGGCGACAGCCCAGCATGGATCAAGCCCACGGAGTCTTGTATGTTGGAGCAGGGAGATCACCCAGCCAACCATCCCACTGCACAGAGGAGATAAACGAGGCCCTGGCAGGGTTAAGACTCAGCCCATCTGATTCCAAAGCTGGCTTTTTATGGCTTCATATGACATCACAGGAATCATGGAAGAGGGGACTCTGGTCTTTGTTCTGTAAAATCTCTTCCTTGTGTGTGGATGTGTTGTACATATGTGCACACACACACACACACATACACACACATCTCCATCTGTCCCCTAGAACCAGGAGCTACTGCTAGGCCAGTCCTCTCAGGAAAAACTAAAAAAAAAAAAAAAGGATGCTAGCCACTGGCTAGGATGTAATCCTAACCACTCAGGAGGCTGAGATCTGAGGGTCGCAGTTAAATGCCAACTAGGGTAGGAAGGTCTGTGAAACACTTATCTCCAATTAACCATCCAAACAGTGAGAAGTTGACCTGTGGCTCAAGTGCTAGAGTGCTAGCCTTGAGCACAAAAGGTCAGAGACAGCACCCAGGCCCTGAGTTCAAGCCCCAGGACTAGCCCTGTGCATTTATCAAGAGCCTAATGTGTGTCAGGCACTCTTCTAGGCTGTGAGAATTCAGTAGGGGGAAAAGCCAAAACTTCCTGCCTCTCACACCACCAGCATTTTCAAGGCAGGAGATGGACAGAGATCTAACGACTAAAGTACCTGGCACATCAGATGGCGAGAGGGCAGGGCTGGGTGACAGGCTGTGTCCTGTGTTGGACTGTGGATCTGGTACTTTTCAGTTGGGTGCTGGAGGCCTCAAAGACAGATGTGCCCATCTGGGGAAAAGATTCCAGACCCAGGGAACCAGCAAAGGCCCTGGGGCAGGACTGCTTGCTGTGTTTGAGGATCTGCATGGAAGTTAGCAAGTCCTCTTTTCTAACTCTCTGCTGTCCTTGGAGGCCATTAGATAACTCCAGGCTTTGCAGAGCCCTACAGACTGAGCTCATCATCCCTGGGGCCTTAGTCCCCTGTGTCAGGGCTTTATGAGGTTTTGCACAGTCTCTTGCATTCCTCTGTGGCTCTAACATGCAGAAGAGGAACAGAGCTTAAGGTCATAGTGAGTGACAACCCCAGACCTATTCAATGTCTCTGGCACCTTGCTGGGCGGCTGGGTCTCTGCAGTCACAGGCTGCCAAAGCCAGCCAGGGGTGCTAGCAGGAGGAGGAAAAAGGGCCCCAGTGGAAATCTGCTTATGGGGCTGGGACAGCTGGGCTGCAATCCAAGCAGCTGGCCTGGGAGCTGGGGGGGGCAGGGCATGGATTGGAGGGTTTCAAAGAATGGGACTGGTGGAGCAAGAGCTTCTTAGAGGCCGGGAGAGGCAAGGCCTTCACTCCCATGGGGCTCGGGTAGCAGAAAGGTCACCCAGCAGTGTGGCTGGTGGCGCCCATTGGGACGCTGGCATTAGCTGTTCTCTCCTTGTTCTAGGACTCCACAGGAATCAAGGACAAGGCAGACCAAGGCATCTGGATGAGGTGATCGAGAGTGGAGACCCTTTTCTCTTTACACTTAATCTTCCCACCAAATCCTATGATAAGAAGCTTCTAGAAGAGCCCCAGAGTTAGGCAGGAGTCAGGGTCCAAATCCAGCTACTCAGCCTTAATTCTCTACCCTCCATCTTTACATGGCCCGTCTGCCTCCTCTCCCTTTGCTGCCCAATGCCCCTGCCAACCTGGGGCCATCCTCTGGTTAGTCATCCACCTTCCTTTGGCTCCAGCTGGCTTGGAACCAGAGGCCAGGCAGCTGCAGAAGGGCAGTAGCCTGTGTCCTACAGGCTGGGGACAAGCCCTCAAGAAGGTTTGGACTCCCAGGAGTCAAAGCCCTCACATCCCCATGTCTCCAGCAGGTGGCTCAGAGCCTCTGCCGGTTCTCCATGTTGGAAAATACTGGTGCTCCTGGTCTGAGCTCCTGGTGGGTGGAGATGGAGGCCCCAGGCTGGTTTTGGCGACAGAGTCTCTCTGTCATTACCATGGGGAATCCCTCTCTGTTGGAACTCAAAACCTTCAGCCTTAGACTCATAAATGCTTGGGTTGCAGATGTGTGCTGCCCATTCAGTCCAGATAGCTATGTCTTTGCTTTGGCTCCTTCCCCGGGCCTTACTCTTCCTCATTTTGTCTTTTCTCCAGCTGTGACACCACCCGACATGTATGAGCCTCGGCAATAACTCCTCTCTAGGTTCCAAAGTAAATAATGATGATCCTAACAATTACGCTATCGTTTATTAGCATATAGCCACATAGCTCCTGCTCAGCTGTTTTGCTCATGGCTGATGATTTATCACTTGAGCCATGCCTCCTCTCCTGGCTTTTTGCTGGTCTCTCAGATTTGTTGTTCCTGAACCTTGATCTTCAGATCTCAACCTCTTGAGTAGGTAAGATTTTAGGCACTAGCCACTGGCGTCCAGCCTGAGTTTTCTTTATGGTACCTATTATCACCCGGCCTTCTATTTCGCCTTTATGTGTACATTTATGACCTGTCCATTTATAGTATATGATGACCCATGAGTGAGCAGGACTTTTTTTTTGGTCTGGTTAACCTACTGTGGAATCCTCAGAACCTAAAACAGAACCTGTGATCAAACTTAAAAACAAAAAAATCTCTGTTGAGGCCAGTAGAGCACTTGCTTAGCATGCACGAGGCCCTGGTTTAGTCCTTAATACTGCCTCTCTCTCTCCCTCTCTCTCTGTCTCTCTCTCTCACATACACACCATAACACAACACACACTAATTGTTGGATACATAACATCTGGAACCCACTGTCCAATCCCTGAGCCTCCAGCCCCACCTTAGGCAGCCTGGGCACCCAGCCTGCTCAGCGGTCACGGGGCCGAGGCTCACTTACTCTGCGGTGGAGAAGGCCAGGGTAAAGTTGTGCCTGCGCTTCGTGGGGTCCAGTGCCGCGTAGTCAAAGGCATCAGGGAAGAACTTGTGAATGAGGGCACAGAAGGCCATGCCGCTGCTCCAGCTGGAGGAGAAGTTCTGGATGTCTACGTGCTGCGGTGTGCGGGGGAATTGAGAGGCCTTGGTGAACCTGGGCCAGAGAGCCTGGACTTTTTGCTCTTCCCACGCTCCCAGTCTTTGAGATCTGCCCCACCCACCTTGGGGAAGGGTCCCCTGCACTACTTGGGTGTCCCTGCCCTGTGCCCACCTCGTAGTTTCTCGTCATGGCTCGACACCACTCCAAGAGCATGTTCTTGACCCCGCCAATGGCTGCCCCTGCTGCCTTCGTGTTCCGGAACAGGGCAGTGGGGCCTGAGGCTGCCCTGTGAAGGGGGGGAGGGGTACACAGGTCAGACCAGAGAAGCTGGAGACCACAGAGGACTCTATGGTGGGGCGGGGGTGGCTGCCCACAGTTGTCAGTCAGTGGCCCTCAGGCCTCACGCCCTAGACCCTGGGGAAAGCCCAGCTCTCCTGGTGTGCATCCTACCCGCCAAACTTGTCCACGATGGCTTTGCGATTCTGTGCACGAGGCCCCCGGGGCCGCGCCGGAGCGGACACCCGGCGCTCTGGGGCCCTTTCCTTCTTCTTCTCCTCAGAGGGAGGGGACTCTGTGGGGCTCTGAGGCACATCGCTGGGTGAAGACTCGCTACATGGAGAGACAGAAGGTTGAGAGGGGCTGGGACCACCTTCACAGGATGCAGGGAGGGGGCGGTGGGGTAACTGGGTGGAGATCACAGGGGCACATGCAATTGTGGCATTTCTGTGTGGCACTGTGTTTGTTTTGGTGAGGGCACGTGGGCAGAACGAAGGCATGCTTGAGGGCTGACAGACTTGGGATCACACTGTTACATCACATCTCTAAGCCTCGGCTTTCCTTGTCTGTAAAATGGGGACCAGGCTGTCTACCGAGCAAGGCGATTGTAAGGCCTGTAGCAGGTGGGGGGTGAAGCCCCTGGGTGTGCTTGCCACACATCTGTGTGAATGCCCAGTGAACACACACGAGGGCCCTGAGAACGGGACGAGGAGTGGCTTTCAGCTTGTGTAATGACCGGATGGTGATGGCGAGAGCCAAAGGCTGGCCATCCAGCACCTGCCATGGTCCAGGCACTCTGCTACAGGGCTGCACACTCACTATGCAGTTTGAGCCTCCCGGTAACCCTGTGGGCTAGACACAATCCCCTGGCCCACTCCACAGATCAGAGGACGCTGAGTGTTGGGCTGAGGTCATGCCGCTGCTAAGCAGCAGAGCGGTTGTGCAAACTCTGGCTTTCTGATGGTGCTGTGTGGATGATCCGACACTGTGGAGACGCAGTGGGCTAGCTGCAAATTGAGGCGCACTGGAGACAAGTCGGGGATGCTGAGGAGAACCCCAGCTGTGGAGTGGGAGATGGACCAGGTATCCCCATGCTCCCTCACTGCTTTGTTTTCCTGAACTCTGCCCTGGGATAGAAGGAGGAGGGCCAAGAATCTTGGGATATCTTGAAACCTGGGGCTGGGGAGGCCCAGACAGAGACGACGGCGGTAGATTGTGAAGGGTACGGGGAGTGGGGTGTGCGTGCGTAAGTGGCGGTGGAGCTGGAACCCTGGAGCATGGCATTACCTGGCTGAAGGACTGGTCTCTCCGGAAGCTGAGAAGTCTGGACCCACCCCATCTGGAGGAAAAGAACAGGGAGAAGGGAAGCTGGAACCATCAGTGACCTTTCCAGACCGTATCTTTTGGGCTCTTCGGCTCTCACTCACCGGGGCTAAGGCCGTGGCCCTCTGCAGTGGGGCTCTCAGGCCACTCCTCTGGAGAGCTGGGAGTTTCCACTGCTCCCTCCTCTGACTCTCTCTCCGTGTCTTGCGCCTGTTCTTCAGAGATGCCTCCTGGCTCCTGAAACGAACAGGTCTGTGTGGGTTCAATAGCCTCACAAGCACTGGCCTAAGGTTTTGTGAGGGCATCGGAAAGATCTGGAAGGCAGCCTGGAGCCACAGTGCTGTATACCCAGTGGCACCACCCCTTGGTGTCAGTGGGAAGAAGACTGAACTTTTGCTGAGGTGTTATGCTTTGAAGTGTTTCTCCATAAAGGCTTGTGAGTGAAAGAGTTGGTCCCCAGCTCATGGTATTGTTGGCTGTGAAAGTGCCATGGATTAATGGATTAATCCACTGATGAATTCATAGATGAATAGGCTATCAGGAGGTAGGGCCTTAGCTGGAGGAAGTAAGTAACTGCCTTTGAAGGGTAAATCTTGTCCCTGGCTCCTTCCTGTTTATTTCCTGGCCACCATGAGATGAACAGCTCTCCTCCAACATGCCCTTCCACCAGGATGATTCCGCCTGGCCACAGGCCTAAAAGCATTTGAGATGGCTTGACCATGGATTGAAACCTTCCCAACTGTCAGCCCAAATAAACCTCTCCGCCTTTACATTGATTTGCTCAGCTATTTTGTCACAATGATGGAAAAACCAATACAGACCAAGTAAATAACACCAGGAGGGCTTGCTTCCTAAGGAAGAGAATATTCCAGAATCTCTTTTTCGGCCTCACTCACCACCAACTCCTTTGTATCACTTTCATTCTCCTCTTTTCCATCAGCCTCTTGGGGCTCAGCCTTGGCCTCATCTTTCACGTCGTCCTGCTCCTGAGATTCAGTGTTGGCCCCTTTGTCTGCAGCCTCCTCCCCAACAGCCTCCCCGAGTTCATGCTTGTCTCCGTCATTCGCATCAGCTTTCTCCACAGATTGGGGCTCGGCCCCCTTTTCATCAGCCTTCTGCTTCTCAAAGACCAGTGTGGCCTGCTCATTTTGCTCAGCCTCCTTGGATTCAGGTTCGGACTCTTCCTTCCTGTCAGTCACCTCTTCAGAAGCCACTGTAGCCTCTTCCTTTCTACCATCCTCCTTTACAAGTTCAGCCTGGGCTCCTTCATTCCCACCATTCTCCTTGTGGGATTCCACCTTGACCTCAGGTAACCCATTTGCTTCCCCCTGGAATTCTGCTGAAACACCCTCCTCAGCTGATGCTTGTTCTTGCATGTCTGCCCCTTCTGGAGGCCCCTCTTTGGCGTTCATCCCAGCTGTGTCTTTAGTTTCTTCCTCTACAGACACTCCACTTCCTGGTGTCTCAGGCTCCTCTGTGGTTGGGGAGACAGTGGTCCCATCCTCAGAGGGCTTCCCTTCCTTCGGATCCATTTCTGGAAAGAGAAGACAAGTGAACCTGGTTATGATCCATTCTGGAATGAGGCAAGGTCCTCATCCTCTGAGAGCCTTGGCCTTGGAGCCAGAATATCCACTACTTGGGTCTGACACCCACACATGTCCCTATGGTGACCTTTTACATGAAGGGTAAAGTGTAGCTTCCCCAAAGGTGGGGAGGTTGGGCTATGTCAACATGATGTTGGATGGTGTTCATCTAATGCTCTCTCTGTAAGGTATGGCATTGGCTTTAAAGGCCATTGACTCACATCACACATGCCTCTTTTCTATTACTATTGGTTGCTGCTGCTGCTGCTACTACTACTATTATTTTGATGCCAAGGATGGAACACAGGGCCTCACACATGCTAGGCAAGCACCCTGCCACTGAGCTGGCTTCCCCAGCTCCCCGTGGAATACCTTTGCAATGATTTTGCCTATTTTTTTTTTGTTAGTTGTGAGACTTGAACTCTGGGCCTGGGCACTGTCCCTGAGCTCTTCAGCTCAAGGCTAGTGCTCTACCACTTGAGCCACAGCGTCACTTCCGGTTTTCTGGTGGTTTATTGGAGATAAAGAGTCTCATGGACTTTCCTGCCCAGGCTGGCTTTGAACCATGATCCTCAGCCTCCTGAGTAGCTAGGATGACCGGTGTGAGCTACTGGCACCTGGTCGATTTTGCCTATTTTTGATGAAGCCAGTGAGGTGGTCACAGTTGGATTCTAGCATCCTGGTAGGCCTGTGGAAAGATGGCTACTTGCCCCCCTAGAACTCAAGGCAGGTAGGAATATGTTTCCAGCATATGCATTTTTATGATAACTGACTATTTCTGGCAAGTGATATTGAGCTTGCTTCCAATAGTGATATACATATGTCTTAAAAAAATTATAAGTGGGGCTGGGATATAGCTCAGTGGCCAAGCACTTGCCTATCACGTGCAACATTCTGAGCTTAATCACCAGTACCAGAAAAGACAAAAAAATTATTGAGGGGTTGGGGACTTGACTCAGTGGAAGAGCACTTGCCTCATAAGTATAAGGACTTGAGTTCAGTCCTCAACAACAAGAAACAATTCAAATAAAAAGAAATGAATTTTAGAATAAGTTAATTCAAAAGAAGGCATTTACCAAGTTAAGAGTTTAGCTATTGATGTAGCTAAATCACAGAGGTGGTGTTACAAACCTAAAATTTCGGACCCCAGTTGGTCTCTGAATCTCTGCCAACCTATGGTTTTATAGGAGGCTGAGATCTGAGTATCGCGGTTCAAAGCCAGCCTGGGCAGGAAAGTCCGTGAGACTCTAACCTCCAATAAACCACCAGAAAACTGGAAGTGGCGCTGTGGCTCAAGTGGTAGAGTGCTAGCCTTGAGCTGAATTGCTGAGGGATAGTGCCCAGGCCCAGAGTTCAAGCCCTAGGACCAACCAAAAAAAAAATGGGGGGGGGGAGGAGTGGTTGCAAGGAAGAGTTTGTGTTGATGAGGCACAGAATCATATTCTCCCTGGCTTCTGCCCAGCTGACCCTCTAGGTGCCCCTGGGAGCCTGTGTGTGGGTGTGGGTGGGATGGCAGCATAACCTGGGACTTCCTATTCAAGTGCTTCCTATTTAATACAGGATCTGCGGTAACAGGGTGACGGTGCCAGCTCCTTTATCCTCTCGCTCTTCTTGGAGGTCTAGTTACAGAGAAAACAACCCCCAAATAGGGCTCCAGGCATGACTCAGAGAGTAAGAAAAGTGGACACTACTGTCATTGGCTAAAAATACCTCCAGCCCTTGGCAGGACCGTCGTTCTTGGCGGGGGCACCCAGGGCACTGGGGTAACTGGGACAGGGCATGGGAGGCAGGAAGACTGGCAGACGCACAGACCAGAATCCCAGGGGTCTCTGGATTTGGTGTCCTCCCCCCAGTCCTTGGCTCCTAGGAATCAGGCTGAGATTCATAACTATATGCAGACCAGCCAGGTGCTGGTGGCTCACACCTGTAATCCTAGCTCCCAGTTCGAAGCCAGCCTGGACAAGAACATCCATAAGAATCTTATCTACAGTTAACCAAAAGTGAGAAAACTAAGGGATAGCGGATGCCTAGATTCAGAGTTCAAGGTCTAATACCACTCCGCCCCCACCCCTGCCACACACACAAGAAGTGCAAACTATGGATTTCTCAATGTATTGGAATGGGTGGTGGTAGGGGAGAGATATGAGGCTGAGCAATGGTGAACACATCAGCAGAGTGCCAGGAGGTCATGACACTGGTCTGGACCCCTTCTTCCTAGTTCCCCACTCTGAGCAAGTCCCTCAGGACTCAGTTTCCACTGACCAAGACAAGGTGTATCCCAGTCACATTTTCCAGACTGTGTTCTGTGGAAAATGAGGCTTCCCAGAGATCCTGAGAAGGGCTCTCCTTGGGGTGTGGGGAAGGTGTGTTCTTTGGCCAAGGTCATCATAAAAATAGCCTGCTTCCCATCTTCTTGGAGATACAAAGTGCTTCACTAGCACAGAAATAGATTTCAGACTCCACATTGTGAATAAAACTGAATTTGGTTTATATTTCATTTAATTCACTTTTCCCCCAAAGCTATTTGGCCATGGACTTTGGATTTATTTATTTATTTATGCCAATTCTGACATGCCCAATGCTAGCACTCTGCCACCTAAGCCACTTCCAGATTTTTGGTGGTTAACCCAGACTTTCCTGCCTGGGCTGGCTTTGAACCATTCAGATCTCAGTCTCCTCAGTACCTAGGATTATAGGTGTGAGTCCCTGATGCCTGGCTTCTTTTGCTCTCTTCTTGCCTACTGTTTTACTGTTTCATTTTTCCCCCCAAAGCACATGTACAGTGAAAGCCCTTGTGAAGTACCACCTTCAATGAAAGTATAGTGAAGGCTGGCCAGCCTGAGCTACAACCATGCTCTCTCTTGGGTGGAAGGTGGACCGGAACAGGGGTGACCATCATTGATTCAGGAGTCTTCCTGTGATGGATCCCAGCTCCCTCTGTTACTTTCTCTGTGTTTTTAATTTCTGGAGACAAAAATAGGACCCATTCCTATGGGATAGTAGAGGACTTGGGAAACCAAAGCACAGGAAGTACTTGGAGGGAGTTTACGGCACACACCAGCTCACGGGGCATAGGTTGGCCATGCCCAGCTCTGTGCCAGGGTGAGGTCCCTGACCTGCTGCTCTCCAGGGCATTTATTGGTGAGACAAAGCAGAGAGAACCGAGTGTCAGGAAGATGGGAACAAGAACCTTCTCGAGCCTCCAAGTAGGGCAGTATTTGGCTGAGACGTAGCTGAGTAATCTAATCATCTCTCCTTCCTTCCACCACCACCCTTAGGGTAGAGGCAAGGAAGCGCAGAGGGGTCCGCACAGCTCCCCCGCCCCCCAATCAGCTAACCTGTCATCACCTCAGCTTTCCCCCCTCCAGGCCTGTCATAAATAGACAAGGAGTGAAGGAGCTCAGAATGCTGAGAAACTGGGGTAACACCCCTCCACCCCCCAGGTCTCACAATTCTACAGCAGTTTAGAGCTCACACCCCAGGTCCCTGCTTTACCTAGGGTGTTCTGAACTCTGGTCCTTCGCAAGAGGTGCAATTGGCCCCAATGACCAGATTAGAAAACCAAAGACAGATTGGATGGCTAAACTACACCTACAGTGGGGGGGTGGGGGGAAGGGTCCTGTCTGTCTGAATGGACTCTAAAGATATTGCTCCCACTGGTTCTTCAGCCCAGTGCCCCTTCCAAGGCCCCAGCATAGAGTAGGGGACACATCAGTTGTGGGAGGGGTTCCTCTCTGCACTTGGACACTCCCCTTCTTCTAAGCACACACTAAGCCCCTCCAGAGTCTCTCTACCTGCTTTCCGGGCCTACTCTTCACTTCCTTCCTCTTCCTTTCTCAGGAAGTTCCCATATTGTCCCTACCTTGTGCCCTATGGACCAGGAGGAAGGAAGCCCCGGGCCCGCACTTCACACCCCAAAGAAGTGAGAGCCATGCTTGCCCTCTGCTGCCCAATACACGGTCCAGTGGTCCTGATGCTCCTGCCTCCCCCCACCCCACCCACCCCACCCCATCCATTGGAGAGGTCACTCTGAGTGGCCTGCAGTTGGCTTCCTAAATCCATTCAAAAGACCTGCAAAGGTCTCTACTACTGTGCTTTGAGAGGTCTTTTCCTGGGGTGGCCACCTGCTGATAAGTCAAGCTTCCCCAGCTCCTCAGGGATGAGCCCCTCGTCCCCAGGCATCTAAGAAGAGTTAAAACATACATGATGGAGAGCATTAGGAAGGAGCAGGGATTTCTTCAAATGATAGGGCTCTCCTTAGACGCTCCGGGGTGCTTGGAAGGTGGGAGCAGGGGTTGGCAAATAAAGGGGATACTTAGAGGAGGGTCTGGGGCTTGTCCTACCTGTGGGTCCTCTGCCCGAGGGCTTGGGAACTGTGGCTTTCCTCTAGCTGAGCCGCCTCGCTCCAGGCTGCCTTTAAGCTCCAGTGTCTTCTAGCCCCCAGCTCATGGTCCCGCCTCCCCGCCTCCCCCCTCACCTACCCCCACTTGGAGATGCCTGGGCTGCCCTGAAGAGCATTGTTTACTGTCCTGTTGGTACAACACTTTTCCTCAGACTGGGAGGCTCAGGTTTCCCTCCGAAGGTCTGACAGGTGGTACCTTTCAATCACATTGTGCCCCTCCACACTTGACCCTCGCAGCATCAGTCCTGTGATCGCCTTCTTCCCCAAGGTGCTCGGGCCCTGGGGACCCTGACGGGCATCTGCACTGTCTACCTGGAATGTGGTAGTCCGCCCTCTGGCCACCCCTGCCCACCCGGGGCCCAGGCGAGACCTCCCATGTTCCCTTACCCCTCAGGCTCCTTTTACACAATGGCTTGTGCTTCTTCCCAGACAAAGCAGCTGCTCAAGGGTGGGCTGAGGAATGGGTGAGTGGGGGCAGCTGCTAACACAGGGGATCTAGCAGGGCTGGGGGGGAGGGGCAAAGGGGAGAACAGAGATGGAGTGGGCTGGTGGATTGTTAAACTTAGGAGTCTAGGAAATGTATAACACTTGGGTTCTGGTTTGAGTGGAAGTGACTGGGACACCATTGGCTCTAGACATGCGTTTGGTGCCAAACTGAAATTTTGCTCACAAGTCTTTACTCTCACAGCGTGCCTGACAAGTTAAGGAAGGTACCACTTGAATGTGGGGAATCACGTATAAAGTTTGTAGATGCTTCCAATTCCTCTTCTCCAGCCCCCACCACTCAGTCACACACTGCCGCGCCCCCCCTTCTCTCCCCCCGCCCCAGCCTTCTGTTCCTTAAATACATTGATCTCTTTCCAGACTCAGGAGGACTGGCTTTTCCTTCTGTATCTCTGCCAGACTGGCTCTTTCTCAATTTTCTGGACTTGGCTTAAATTTCATTCTTTTGAAGAGGTCTTTCTTGACCTCCAATTTCTCTCCACCATTTCAGCTTCTTCTATATTGTTCATACTATTTAGAACCTAAAATGATCTTTTCCATTTCCTTCCTATCTCTCGCATTAGACTCAACACTCTCTGGGGACTGGGATTTGCCTCTGGGCTCCTGGTTGTACACCTTGCAAATTGCCTCGTTCCCACTGGGCCCTTGATAAAGGCTGAATTCATTCATAAATCTAAAATTATAGAATAGGAATTTAGGGCCCATGCCTGGGGTGAAAGAGATCACTTTGTGGAGCCAAGTTTGGGGACCAATGTCAAAGAGCTTAATATTAATGGTTAACAACTGCCTTCATGTAAAGTCTCCATCACCAGTCTTGAGTTTCTCTCAGGATCCAGAGAGGACTCAAAGCCCAGAGAGGATTCTCTGGGTTCTGCTCTGGGACTGGAAGCCATTGGAAATAATGAGTCTGATGGGGAAGTGTGGGCAGCGATCTAGGTACAAGATGTGGTGGCTGGCTTGGCCCAGGTCCTCAGCAGCAGAGGTGAGGGGAAGGGTGAGGAGCAACCAGAGGCAGGGCTAGTTATCTCTTCAAACTAATAGAATATTCTTTCATTTCTATGCTTATTTCCAGGCAGTCCAGGGAGACATCTGTCTTTATAGTCTGTGCACCCAATGAGGAAAGTCTAGGTGACAACCCTGCCCTTCCTTTGGATTTGGGGTTCCATGCAAGAGGATAACACTGGCCCATGCTAAGTGACAACCCCACAGTTTCCCTCTGCCGGGTGGGGAAGAGGGGCCAGAGCGTCTGCACATTGTAACAGATCAGTAATCCAGATGACCTGGGAGGAGTCCCACTCAATCCTCCTGTTTACACCTCCTACAGAGCTGGCTAACAGGTACATCCCAACATGTTCAGCTTTTTATTAGTTGAGATGGGGACTTGTGAATTTTTGACTAGGGCTGGCCTCTACCTACAGTCTTCCTATTATCTGCCTCCGGAGTAGCTAGGGTTATAGTAGCTATGGTTACCCCTCCACAAACAGGAGGATATCATGCCAGTACCACAAAGATCCCCCTGTGACGCACCTGTCTTCCTCCACCAACTCTAACCCCGGATCACCACTACTCTCTTCTCCATCTGCATAATTTCATCATTTTCAGAAAGTTACTTGAGTGAAAATCATACACTGTGTAACTTTTTGTAATGCACAGTACATACCCAATTTAAGAGACAGATTCTTTTTATACGAATCCCTCTCCTTCCATGAAGTTTCTAAACTTTTCCTAATGTGTTGATTCTATTTTCAAAGGCAAAAATCAGGGAAAAATGTATCCACTACATGGAGTTGGGGTTGGACTTCAGTGACAGACTGCATGTGCAGCGTGCCTGAGGCCTTGAGCTCAATTGTAGCACCTCCCTACTCCAAAAATCTGTATAGTAATTATTACAGTAGCATTATTTGTAACAATTCAAAGCTAGAAAACACCCAAATGTCCATCAACAGGGGAATGGACAATGAATGTAGTACATCCATAGAGTCAAACACTAGACAACATTCAAAAAGAAGAAATATGGGCTGAGGTATAGCTCAGAGGTAGAATACCACTTCCTGTACTCAAAAATGTTATCTCAGAGCAGGGAAGGTGGCGCAGTGGTAGAGCGCTTGCCTTGCATGCATGAGGCCCTCAGTTTGATTCCTCCGCACCACATAAGCAAAAACAAAACAAAACAAAACAAAAAAAATCCTGGAAGTGGCACTGTGGCTCTCATGGTAGAGCACTAGCCTTGAGCTGAAGAGCTGAGGGCCAGAGCCCAGGCCCAGAGTTCAGGCCCCAAGACCAACAACAACAAAAAAGTTATCTCATAATTTACCTCATGCATCTAGCCAGTCAATGCTCACTCTCATAAAGTTATCACTGATCTGACTTATATCATCATTCATTGGCTTTACCTGTTAAACTCCATGGATTATGAGGTAACTTTTTTGAGTACAGGAAGTAGTTTGTATTTTGATCTCAGTGTGAATCATTACATGAATATATATATTTCTTTATTAATTTTCCTATTCTTTTACACAAAATTCTATTTTATATAAAATGATGGGTTTCACTGACATTTTCATATAACACACATATATATATCAAAAAAATATAACATATGTATATATATAACATACTTTGGTTATAGTTAGCCCTATTACACTCTTTGGTCCTTGCTTCTTTCTCCTACTTGTCTCCTTCTCCTTTCTAAATAGTCCTCTCTCTGCTTTCATGTATTTTTTACATCTAGATTCCATATGATAGAAAACATGTGAGAGTTGTCTTTCTGTGTCTGGCTTATTTCACTTAATGACCATCAGTCTCATCCATTTATCTGCAAATGACATAATTTCACTTTTTATGGCTTTCTAATACTCTACTCTGTGTTCGCCAGATTTTCTTTATCCACTTATCTGTTGGTAGGCACCTAGGCTGATTCCATAACTTGTTTGAATGTGTGCATAAACTTTAATTTTTATAGAGCTGAGGGTGTAGCTCAGCAGTACAGCGCTTGTGAGAGTCCTTGGATTTGACCCCTAGTACCACGAAAGTAGAATAAAATAAAACTTAAGATTCCTCTATTTTGCCTCGTACTGCATGTTATAACTGGGATTGATTCCCAGCCATCTTAAAAGAATCAAAGTTGAGTCCTTAGGGCAGTAACAAACTGGGTCTGATGTTTCAAACCAGGACAGTGGCAGTAGGTGCGGAGCTCAGCATATCCAGGCTTAGCATGTGGGGGTGGGGTGGGGGGAAGGTGTAAGGCCCTCAGTCCAATTCCCAATATCTTCCCCTCCCCCTGCTCCCAAATCAGGGCTGGTTTGGACAATTACAAACGTATAATGATAACCAGCTTACCTTCTCCCGTGGATAGTGCATTCTTGTCGTGAATTTACATCTTGTAAATTTGCCGGGAAATGAGGGAAAAATCAAATTTAGTTGAATAAAAAATAATTTTTCTTTTTTAAGAGATCAAAGACGTTCTTTGTTTTTGGAGGGGCGGCCTGAGAGCTGAAGAGATCAGCCGTACTCTCCTCTTCCCTCGCTCCCGGGCACTGGGTCGGCTCCCGTGGAGGCCGAAATCATTCCTATTTTGGAACAATTGTTCCTATTCCCATTTTGGACATCGTGCCTATGTATGGCTCGGAGCGCCGAGCAGAAGCTGAGCAAAAGACACCCCATATAAGTCTTCTCCTCGCGCCCATCTTCTGTGACCCCGGCGGGGGTCGCAGGCAGAGCACCGCGTCTGGCCCAGCGCAGCATCTCAAACCCGCGGGCCTGCGCCAGCCACAACAAATAAACTCACTGGTCTCCATGGCAACCCCGGGGAGTCGAAAGCCAATCAGATTGGGGGCACTCTGCACACGCCTCCGCCCAGGTCTCTATGGTAACATGGCGGCCCCCGTTTGAGAGTCGCCGGCTCCACCAGCCAGAGAGCCAACCCACCCAACTCCCTCTCGATGGTAAACGATTTCCCAGAGCGCCCCGTTGGTATTTCCTTCCGGGCTCAGGAAGAGGCGGGACTTCCTTCCCGGAAGTGACCCACGTGCCTTCGCTGTGGGGTTCCCTGGGCTCTCGGCAACTTTTCATTCCTCCCTCTTCCCTCTCAGCCCCTCCCCTCGGCAGTTGGCGGATTTTGGGGTTGTGTTTTGGGGAAGCGTGAGCCCCTGCGGGCCGTGGTAAGTACGCCGTGGTGTCCGGCCGCAAGGTGACCCCGGGGAGGGCCTCGCTGTCTCGGACGTTCTGCCTGTAGGCCGGACCCCAGGCGCCTCGGTTCAGCGTCGGATCGAACCCGCAGAGTTCGCAGCCCGCGTCGCCGGGCAGCCCGCCTCAGCCAAAATCGGCCACTGATCTGTTGGCGGGATTGGGGTGTCGGGGCCTCGGGGCTCGGCCGCAGCGCCCCGCCCCCGAGCCGTCTCCAGTGACCTTGGGGCTGGTCTTCGGCTGCTTGAGGGCCAGTTTTCCGATAGCCGAGAGGGGTTGGTGGAGCTCCACGAAGCCCGTCGCCCCTGCTGGGCCTCACGCTCCGTGATTTCTGGACACCCCTTACCTCTTGGCTTAGGGGGTGAACGGCAGGGGTGGGTTCAGAAGTTGACGTCTGCTCCTAGGACTAGCAAATCTGACGGTTGCCTTCTACGTGCTGGGCCGAGATGGATCCGCTCAGGGCCCAACAGTTGGCAGCGGAGCTGGAGGTGGAGATGATGGCTGACATGTACAACAGGTAACAGGTCGCTCCGAAATACCCTGTCTTGGAAAATTAGCCCTGGTAGCCCTTACCAAAGATATAGAGGTAGGTAATTCTAATGTGCTAGCCCCAGGGAAAGCCCATGCCTGCGCTCTTCCTCGGCCACAACCGCGTGGTGTGTGCTGATTGAGCTCTGTGGGCAGTTCAGTTGGAGTTGAAACTGACCTGAAGGAATCCACCAAAAAGAAAAACCTCAATCTAGGCACTGGAGTATTTGCCTTTTTAAAAGTAGTCAATTTATTAGTTAATCCCTTTTTTGGTGCGAGCAGAGCTTGGGTGGGTGTTCTTAGACAGACAGACAGATAGACAGATAGATAGATAGATATAGATAGGGTTTAGCTATGCACCCCAGTCTTGCATTAAGCTCAATTCTCCTACCACAGCCTCCCAAATGCACCACTGCACCTGGCTAGGTTTAACATATCATTTTTTTTTTGTTGTTGTTGTTCCTGGTACAGGCCCTCGAGCTTGAACTCCAGGCCTGGGCTCTGACCCTGAGCTACTGTTTTGCTCAAAGCTAGCACTCTACCACTTGAGCCACAGCCCCATTTCCAGATTTTTTGGGTAGGTAAGTGGAGATGAGAGTCTCATAGACTTTCCTGCCTGGACTGGCTTTGAACTGTTATCCTTAGATCTCAGACCTCCTGAGTAGTTAGGATTACAGGCATCAACCACTGGTGCCTAGTGGTTTATCTCTTTTTTTTTTTTGTCTGTCCTGGGGCTTGAACTCTGGGCCTGAGCTTTTCAGCTCAAGGCTAGCTCTACCATTTGAGCCACAGTGCCACTTCTGGTTTTTGAGTGGTTAATTGGGCATAAGAATCTAACAGACTTTCCTGCCCCAGTTATGATTACAGGCATCAGCCACCAGCGCCCAGCTGGTTTATCTTTTTATAATCCTTAAAATAATAAAATTTGCCAGGCACTGGTGGCTCACACATATAATCCAAGGTACTCAGGATACTGAGATCTAAGGATTGACTTTAATGCCAGCCCAGGCAAAAAAGTCTGATATTCTGATCTCCATTTAACCACCAAAAAAAGCTGGAACTGAGATAGAGTACCAGCCTTCAGTGAAGAAGCCAAGGGATAGTGCCCTAGGTTCAAACCCCAGTACTGGCACTAACTAGCTAGCTAAAGTAATGCAGATAAGCCAATAATATCTACCTCTTCAAGACATTATAATAAGGCCCTTAGCATCCAGCCCACCACATAGGAAACCGTTATCTGCTATGTTTTAATTTTTATTGTTGTTATAAAGGCGATGTACATAGAGGTTATGTAAGTTATGTAAGTCAGGTAATGAGTACCTTTCTTTTTGGACAGTGTCACCCCTTTTTTACTCCCAGTTTTTTTTTCCTTCCATCTCCACCCACAAATTGTATAGTTCATATCCTTTTTTTTTTTTTAATTTTTCTGTCAGTCATGGGGCTTGAACTCTGGGCCTGGGCGCTGTTCCTGAGCTCTTTGCTGAAGGCTAACACTCTTTGAACCACTTTAAACCACAGCAGCACTTCCAGTTCTCCGGTGGTTAATTGGAGACAAGAGTCTCACAGACTTTCCTGCCTGAACTGGCTTTGAACCACAATCCTCAGATCTCAGCCTCTGGAGTAGCTAGGTGTTCAGCCACCAGTGCCTGGCTTTCTTTTTTATGTTGTTGTTGGTCATGGGGGTTGACTCAGGCCTGGACACTGTCCCCGAGCTCTTTTGTTCAAGGCTAGTAGTTTTTGAGTGATTAATTGGAAATTAGAGTCTCATGGAGTCTTTTCTGTCCATGCTGGCTTTGAACTACAATTCTCACATCTCAGCCTCCTGAGTAGCTAGGATTACAGGTGTTAGCCACTGGTGCCTTACATATAGTTCATTTTCAACCTGGTATCTAGTGAGCACCATTGCTGCATTTTGTCAGTGGAAGCTCTCTTGGTTAGTTTATTTATCTTGAGGTATATAAATTTGAGTGATTTGAAAATATAAGCTTTGCAGTAAGACTATCTTTAACTCTACTCTGGGGATCATGATTGTGCCTACCCCATTAGGGTTACAAATAAGGGTTGGAGAACAATCCATGAAAACTTTTAGCATGATGCCTGGCACACAACTAGGTTTCAACAGAAGGCTCCTATTTGTCAGTGTACCTGAGCCCAAACAAGGTTCCTCCTCAAGAACATTGCTAGATGGTTGAGACACAAAAGATGGATTTATTCTGCTTTATTGGGGGAGATGAAATCAATATAGCAAGGCAGGAATGGTTGAAGGTTCCTGGGGTACCACAGGATGCTGACGACAGGACCTTGTTTCTCTTTGCAGAATGACCAGTGCCTGCCACCGGAAGTGTGTGCCCCCCCACTACAAGGAAGCAGAGCTGTCTAAGGGCGAGTCTGTGTGCCTGGACCGGTGTGTCTCCAAGTATCTGGACATCCACGAGCGTATGGGCAAGAAGTTGACCGAGTTGTCTATGCAGGATGAGGAGCTGATGAAGAGGGTGCAGCAGAGCTCTGGACCTGCCTGAGGCCCCAGACAGCATACACCCGGGTGCACTTTGCCCCTTTCCTCTTGTCTGATGAAAGTGCCCCTGGTGGGTGTCATATATGAAGGCTGCCATACCTGGGCTTTCTGGAGCATCTCCAGGGGCTCCAGGTGTGGTAGAGCTCTCTCCTGATTGAAGAAGGGGTGTTTGTCACACTGGTATGTGACTGTGTGTATACTGTATATATATTAAAACAAATGTGTTGACAACAGCTACAGTGTGCAAAGCCCTGTGCCTAGCATTTGGAAGTAAAGAAATCAGATAGACCTTCTACCAGCAGAGGGCGTCTCATGCAATGTTTTTTTTTTTTTTTTTTTTCATGCAGTGCTTTAAATGTGTACACGGGTCAGTTTAGATTTTGCCCTGGAGTCTGCCCACTTGCTGTGTGGCCCAAAACGTGATGCTTCTCTGCTTTATCTTCTTTGTCTATAAAGCGGGGGTATCAGAGCTATTGTGAGGAGTCAAAGAGTTAAAGGGGAAAAAAAAGAATTTTAAGACATTGAATGTAGGCAAGCAGCCTCCAGTGGGATTAAAGAAGCAAGTAGCCAACCTCTTACAGGTGGCAACCACAAGATGAATGAAGGGCCAGGCTTCGTGGAAAGTGATTCGGGGAGGGGCCTGAGTGATAACTGCTCTTCAGTGCTCACCTGAATCAGACTTCTCTTCATTCTTCATGAAGAGCCTAGGCTAAAGGTCCTATTAGGAAATGGAGGCCCAGAGATGGGGCTACTGGCTGGAGACTGTGGGAATGGAGCATTGGGGGGAGGGGGAGCTCCTCGGCAGGGGCTGCCTCATTGTGCATCTGTATCTGCCATCTCTTTGCAGGGGCTGAGCCTCAGTCCTGTCCAAGGATTGCCCCTGGGTACTGTATGACTTTTGGAATGTGTGGGTCATTCTAGATGGCACTTTGGACGTGCATGGCAGGTAGTGACTGGGACAGAGCTAGGTCATTGGAGATGGAGTGAAGGATACTAGAGGTGGAGAGTTTGTGCTGTCCAAGTTTAGGTGTAAGCCTTCCTGATTGTGTTTGAGTCCTCTTGTAGAGATACATTAACTGCTCTGTGCCTGTTATCTCCGAAATTGCACCTAGTTGTACCTATCTAAAGTACTTAGTAAAGTGCCTGACATACATTAGATACTCAGTATCATTAGCTCTTCTCATTGTTCATTTTGATGGGAGATGGAGGCACCAGATGGACCCCTGTAAAACTTTACTTTTCCTATCTTGGAGTAAGTATGTAAGGCTCCTTGCTAGGTGCTACAGTGCAAACTTAGGTCAACAGGTGGCGCTGTCTGCTCTTCTCTGCCAGTTCCAGTTTGAAAATGAGAGTAATGAGAAAGTTAGTTAATTGTACCTATCCTCAGGCTTAGCACAGAGCATCCACTGGCGCTAAGAGAAGGCATGGCGAGGTAGGGAGGTGAGCATTCAGCTGGAGGGAATAGCAGTTGGAAAGGCTTTAAAGTGGCAGGAGAGTATGGGGCACGCAGGAAATGAGTCTGGCTGGAGTGCCATGTGTGAGTAGCTGATGGTGGGAGATGAGGCATGAACATGGCCCGGCAGTGCCAAAAGAGCCTACTTGGGTGGGCTCTGACTTTCTGCTAAGGGCAGCAGCAGACTTGTAGCATTTAAGCCTACAAGTGCATCTTCAGTGACCAAGTTATATCTGCATTTTAGAAGCTTGTTCTTGATGCCAGCCAGGTGGATAGTGTTAAGTGCTGAATTAAAAGGGAGACATGGTAAAGAGACCAGGAGGTGTGAAGGTGTGTGATTTAACAACAGCTCCCATGCTTTGAGCTGCTGCAGTTTGCCATGCCCTATGCTCTTTGATCATAATCACCACCATTGCTAACTCTTTTTGTTGTGTCTGGGGCCTGAAACCAGGGCTTTGTGCTCTTACCTGGTTTTTTCTACTTCGGCTGGCACTCTACCATTTGAACCACATCTCCACTTTTGGCTTTTTGGTGGTTAATTGGAGCTAAGAGTCTCATGCACTTTCCTGTGCAGGCTAGCTTTGAACTGCAACCCTCAGATCTTAGTGTCCCGAGTAGCTAGGATTACAAGCATGAACCACCAATGCCTGGCTGTCCCTATGGCTACCTTTGGGATCCTCGGATTCTTCATCTGTGAAATAATAACAGTGCCTGCCTCAGAGTTGTTATAAGAGTCAATGAAGTGACATCTTGGGGGACCTAGAGCTTAAGGAAAAAAAGGTACAGTTTAGGGATAAAATGTTGCTTATGAATGACACATACACATACAGTCTATTTAACTGAGGTAGTTTTGTGATGCTGGTCATTGTACCCCTACAGCTAGAATGCCTGGCACCACTCAGCATCTAGAGACACTGATGAACAAAATACAAAGATTCCATTCTTGGGTTTGGAAGTGTGGCTCAGGTGGTAAGGCACCTGCCAATGAGCATAAAGTATCAGTAAGTTCAAATCCTGGTCTTGAACAGAAAAAAAAGGTTCTGTTCTTTTGGCAGTTACATTGGGAAGGGGAGGAGACATCATCTACAAGTGTGGGTTGAGAGTGCTGTTCTGAAGGGAAGACCTCTTCAGCTCCTTGGGGTCTTAAGCCCTTTAAGAATTTATAAAAACCATGAATCGTTCTCCCAGTGTGCAGAGAATTTTGTGTGCAATTTTAGAGATTTTTTCATAAGAGCAAATGTGAGCTGACCAGAGAAGAGTCTTATGACAAACATTGTTTTAGTGTAGGGTGAAGATAAAAAAAAAATTAATGCGGGCTGGGAAGGTGGCTCAGTGGTAGAGCGCTTGCCTTGCATGCATGAGGCCCTGAGTTTGATTCCTCAGCACCACATAAGCAGAAAAAGCCGGAAGTGGGTGCTGTGGCTCAAGTGGTAGAGTGCTAGCCTTGAGCTGAAGAGCTGAGGGACAGTGAGGGGCCCAGAATTCAGGCCCCACGACCAACCAAAAATTAAAAAAAAAAAAATTAATGGGAAAGATGGGTGTTAAGACTAGTTTGGTTTTTTTTTTTTTCTGGTCCTGGGGTTTGAACTCTGGACTAGGTGCTATCCCTGAGCTCCTTTTGCTCAAAGTTACACTCTACCACTTGAGCAACAGTGCTACTTCCAGCTTGTTCTGTGATTAATAGGGGTTTCAGGGACTTTCCTGCCTAGGCTGGCTTCAAACCTCAGTCCTCAGATCTCAGCCTCTTGAGTAGCTAGGATTACAGGTGTGAGCTACTAGCACCAGGTTGAGGTGCTTTTATAGTTAATTTATTTAAAAAAAAAGTTTAGGGGGTCTGGGCCTGTATAGGAAAGTGCTGACTCTCAGAAGGTAACAGGTTGGTGAGATATGGAAGATGGATGGGAATTTGCGGGACAGAGGGTCTGGCGGGAGAAGAGTAGGAAGAAAGTGGGTACAGCTGACTGCTTTGTGAGCCATGAAGTCCATTAGATGAGTTTGATGAGTTTTTATCGAAGGGAAACCAATTTTATATGTATATGCATGCCAGTTCTGGGACTTGCGCTCACAGTTTTTTCACTTAAGGCTGGAGCTCTACCACTTGAGCCACACCTACACATCTAGCTCTTTGGTGGTTAATTGGAGATAAGATTCTCTCATTTTTCTGCCAGAGTTGGCTTTGAACCTTGATCCTCAGATCTCAGCCTCCTATGTAGTTGGAATTACAGACATAAGCCAGTTGCACTCCTGCCAATATTGGGATTTTTACTCAGGGCCTGGGCACTATTTCTTAGCTTTTGCTCAAGGATAGTGCCCTACCACTTGAGCTACAGCTCTACTTCTGGCTTTTTGGTGGTTAATTGGAGATAAGAGTCTTACAGACTTTCCTTCTTGGGGCTGGCTTCAAATCAGATCTTAGCCCCCTGAGTAGACAGGATTACAGGTGTGAGGTACTAGTGTCTGGCAAAGGGTTTGTTGTTTTGTTTTTGTTTTTTCCTTCTGGGACCAGAACTTGAACTTATACCCTGATGCTTTCACTCATAGGCTTGCACGCTACCACCTGAGCCATGTTTCCAGTCTGGCTGTATCATTTTATATACATTTCTTATGCCAAGTTTCTAATACATATTTGTTAGCCTGAATAAGTAATTTCTTGCACAAGTACTATATAGTCTTGTGACCTTGTTGGGCGGGCCTGGAACCAAGACCCTTCTAATTTCAGTCTCCCGTATAGCTGGGTCTTGGTGAACTTTTTTCCTGGGCTGACTTCAAACTAAGATCATCATAATCTCTGCCTCCTAAATAGGATAACAGGTGTGAGGCACTAGTACAAGTGATTTCAACTTAAGGTCTCATTCCTAACATCCTTCATGTGTCCCACACACAGGCTCTCCCACGTCTATCTCCATTAGAAACAAAGCTGAAAGAAATCCAGGGAAAATCCAAACAAAGCAAACACAATCTGGAAGTTCTCCATCCATTGACCTCGTGAAGGTCATTCCAAGGTGATCCTCACCTGACTTTCCAGCCTCATTTCTGTACTTCCTTTCCACTTGTCCAACAAGGAACTTAACCATGTGCTTTCAGTAGGCAGCAGGCACACAAGATGTTCTATCTTGTAGATTGGGAAAGGAAGAAGGGAGGAAGGAACTAAACTGAGCAATCTAGATCAGTGTGGGGGGCTTCAACACTGTTGGGGGTGGGGGAGTATGTCACTATACCCAGCCCAGGAGGCCAGATAGCTTCCTGAGATGAAACTTGAGCTAAGCTGTGCAGGAAGCATGCATTAGAAATGAAGAAAGGTATCTGCCACTCACAGGGAAGAGCAGGTGTGAAAACAGCTGTATGGACTCCTCAATGCACATCTGCTCACCAAGTGCCTCTTAGGTGCCAGGCTGGGGGGATACAAGAAGTAAACACAGGCAAAGCCTCTGCTTCCACAAAGTTATCAGGTCATAAAGGGGAGACGGGCAAGTCATAGGGGTCCATGAAAAGGGTTCTGCAAAAACCAGTGCAAGCCAGGCACCGCTGGCTCATGTTGGAAGTGCCAGTTACTGAGGAGACAACATCTGAGCATCAAGGTTTAAAGGCAGCCCAGACAAGTATGAGAGACTCCTATCACCAATTAATCAGCAAAAAAGCTGGAAGTGGCCCGATGCTGGTGGATCATACTTGTAATCCTAGCTACTCAGAAGGCTGAGATTTGAGGATCGTGGTTCAAAGCCAGCCCAGGCAGGAAAGTATGTGAGACTCTTATATCCAATTAAGCACCCACAAAGCTGG